CACACCCCACACCCCACCCTAAAATCACCTTTCTTTGCACGTGAAAAACTCAATTTTATACTAAAAGAGCAACTTTCTTTGCGTTTTTCTCAAAATCAGCTTTTCGAAACAAAAAATTGACGTTCTCACCAACTTGTCTCCTAAACGGTATCGAACTCAAACTTTGTTTATCAATACTGCGATCAAATTTGGATACGTGTTTTTTTTTCTTCTCTTGAAAATCTTGTACCTATGAAGTTTAGCAGATTTTATAATATTAGCATCATCCGAGAAAAATAATTTTCTTTTGATAGTGCCTCCAGTGTTTTGCTTCTCCTAAGCCTCAGAAACAATATGTTTTAAAGAAAAAAATTAACACAAACCCAGATTTGTTTCTAGTTGCCAGAGACAAAATTTTAGCCCAAAAGAACGTTTTATGACCATTTGCTGGAGGGGAAAACTTCAGGTCATTTTTGACTGTTGCCTTCCCAAAATCTTCCTGAAGAAAGCATTTTGGAATTCTGAGTCTACGACAACGTTTATTCTACTCATCGAGATCTATCTACTCTGAAATTTTCGCCAAATCATTAGCGAGGAACCTTCGAAAAGTGGGGGAGTCATTTTAAAGACTTTCTTTAGTTTCAATAGGATTTATCTAATCTCAAAAATGATTTATCATTTGATAAAATTTTATTATGAATAGTTCTTCAATGTCATACCATTTGTTTAGATCTATTACTATGAAATAGATTTAATTCTATCAAATTTTGATTTCATAAAGCTAATAAAATTATCGTTCATTGTGAAATAGTAACGAGTGATGAATAATCGCAAGACGTTGAACAGTCAGTTATGTAAAAGGTAATGATATTTTTCAAGAATTTGGTGATAAAAATGCCTTCTATTAGCGGCGTAACCAGGATTTCAGGCTAGGGGGGCTCAGCCCCGAACGTTTTTAAAAAGTGCACAAAGCTAGTGCTAATTATTTTTCATTTTTTTTAGCAAAATGGAACTAAGTCTCTGGTCTATCTGAAGTATACAAGGCTATTTGAGACCGGCATTTCAACACTTTAAGATTTCTTAGAGGATGTCCTCTGAGTTTATGTTTTTTATCATAAAAGTGGGACTTTTTGATGTTCAATGGCTACAATGAATACAATTGCACATAATGATTTAGAGCTAAGTAATTGTCAAAGATAATTTCCAATATGATGTCTGAACCAGAAACTAAGCACTCAAAATTAGTCGCATGCTATGTACCCACGGAAAAATTTTTCAAGAAAAAACCGCGGTTTCATAAACCGCGAAAGTCAGACCTTTTATGAGGTTTTTGAAACCGGCGAAAACCGTGGTTTGCAAATACCGCGGTGAGAACCGAGAAAATCGCAGTCCGAGCTGAGTTTTTGCAGGTCTAACCGCGGTTTTCTCGGTTCTCATCGCGGTATTTGCAAACCGCGGTTTTCGCCGGTTTCCAAAAACCGCATAAAAGGTCTGACTTTCGCGGTTTTTCAAAATGTGGAACAAAACCGCGGTTAACCTCAGATTACCGCGGTTTTTTTCGGAAGAATTTTTCCGTGGGAATCAAGTATACTTCTTGGAGAACGTATAAATCTTCTTGTTTCATTTTATTCTTCATCAAATAATTATTTAAATACAAATAATAATGAATTGATTATTGAACTTCGTCGTGAAATAGAAATATATCGTATTATAATTGATGAACTTCAAACAAAAATTTTAACTTGTGAAAAATCTCAACGTTTAGCAAATGGAGTTGAACTTGAATATGAAGATTTACTTAAATTTTTATATGAATAATTATATCAATATAAAATAAATGAAATAAATCAATTAAAACAAATACAAACAAATGATCAATTAATACAAAAATTATTTAATTATTTATCAATTTATGTTAATAAACCAAATGATGAACATATATTAGTTCAACTTAAATTTGAATATGAACAACAACAAAAATTAAATCAGAACAGTAATGATATATCAATTAATAAATATCGACAACAATTTTAATAATTCATCTATTATATTTTATTTCAATTTCATCAATTTCTTCCTTTTTTTTTCGTCATTTTGTTTTTCTTTTTTTTTTATAATTGTATTACTTACATTTCAATTCAATATGAAATGAAATTGAAATAGATGTTTCTATTAAAAATGCAGGAATGTTGTAAATAAACATTTATTGGTTAACTTGAAAAAGATAATAATACAAAAATAAATTACTAATGCACTTAGTACTATAAATAATATAAAAAAAAAGACATGTTATCTTCTTAGCACACCTTTTTTTTTATCCTTTGTTTATGTCTCGCAATATCAACAATGATTTTATTTTACGTAATTCTTATTTTGTTTAATATTATTCAAATTGATAGTTTATTTGAAAGATGTCGTCAAACATTTGGTTCGAATAAATATGATCTTAATCAATTAAGTCATTTAACAATTCTTGGTGAAAACAACTCATATAGTTATGCTCTTACTCCTTGTGGTCTAGTACCAACAGATAAATGTGGAAGTAGCACACTTCCATTTGAACAAGGCATGACGGCATGTCAAGAAAAAATTTCAGAAACTAAGTTTGCATCAGCTATGGGCTTTCTTGATGGATATGGAAAATCACCTAATCTTGAATTTAATGAAAATCCTCAAGGACCAGGAACTGGAATTGTTATGATTATGCGTAATGCTTTATGTAACGGTAATGAACGTTTTGTTAATGTTACATTTATTTGTGACAAAAGAATTAAACAACCAACAAAAATGAATGTAGTTGAAGATCCTAAATGTAAATTTACGATGACAATAATAGCAGCTGAAGCTTGTCCTATTAAAGAAGGCATTACAGGTGGCGCTATTTTTATTATTATATTGTTTGCTTTAATTATTATCTATTTGGTTTGTGGAATTTTATATAATCGATATAAACAAAATCAAACAGGCTTCGCAGTTATACCAAATCTAAGTTTTTGGCTACTTATAGGTGGTATGTTTGTTAATGGATGCAAATTTACTTGGAACTTTGTTCGTAATCGTGGTCAAGGAACATTGTCATCGTCAATGTCATATGAATCCGTATAGGTTTTTTTTCATTTTATTCATCAACTATAAAATAACAAATTAATGAGTCGTCTTTTTTTACTATGAAAATTCATATACTTGTATCCAGTGAAAAATTTTAGGGATTAAAATCGATTATAATTTCAAAATCCTATGAACGTAATCAAAATTGATAATCGGATTATTCTGCAACAAAATCAAAATATTAATCGATTGAAATCAATGTTACCAATCCATCTCAATCGATTAAATTATATTTTTAGGGTGTGGGGTGTGAGTGTGGGTGTGGGTGGGTGTGGGTTTAACTATTCCTTAAGCCCATACCCACACCCTTCATGTTCTAAAGTGGTACTAGGAGCAAAACTTTCAATTGCTATTTCGTTTGATTCGCAAAATAGTGCCAAAGAGTTCACTTTGCCTAACTCATATGCTTTATATGAATGAATTCCTCCAAGATTGTGTATGCAGAGGGGTGTGGGTGTGGGTTTGGGGTGTGGGTGTGGGGTATCGGTATGGGTGCGGATGTGGGTAGGGCGTGAGCGTGGGTGGGGTGTGGGTCTTTTTTTCAATGACTGCCACACCCACATCCACACCCACACCCACACCCACCCACACCCACACATCCACACCCACACCCACCCACACCCACACATCCACACCCACACCCACCCACACATCCACACCCACACCCATCATGTGATGCGGTGTAATCTGTACTTTCTCGCTATATACTTATTATTAGAAAAACAGCGAACTATAATAGTGTAAAGTGAGAAATATTGAAGGGGGGAAATCAATTAAGGTGCACAGTAGTACATCATCTTCAGATAAATAGTGAGTTTTAGCAGAGGGGCTAGCAAAAAACGTTCTAGCTCGTTTGTTTTTGAATAAAACATAAATCAGATGTTTCCTTTCGCCATTAGTGCTAGGATCATATGACTTTTCAAGTAGATCTTTTGGTTGTGAGCTGCTCGCCGATAGACCATCAACGTGAGAAAAGAAAAAGGAGAAGCATCATATTCTGTTCAAACAGTATTAATTCAGTTGTTTGTCAACAACCAAGAAACCACTTCTGAACAGATTGAGGCACAGTTTGTTTGATGAATACGAGTAGCGCTACTCGATAAGCTTCTGAAGGTAGCACAAATGCAAAGAGAACAGTCATCGATGGTATGAAACCCACAACATAGCCGAGTAGACCGACAGTCGGACGTTGATCGAGTTTGGTGCACACAAACACAAAAGAGAATATCGTTCTGGGAAGAGCAAGTAGAGCGAGAATAGCTGGTGCGATAAGAATATGCTTGTGTAAAATAATTTGTTTCCTGATTGCTTCGAATCGCTGTTTCGTCTTGACCCTGTTCTGAGGATCAGTGGCCATTGTGCATGTTGTCTGTTGTTTGGACTGATGAGTGCCGAGGATAATGATTGCAGCACTGACCAAATTGACTACTAGTGGCAGCAAGAACATAAGTATATTCAAGGTGGAATAGAAAACTAGAAGTGCTGGTCGATCAGCATTGAGTGTGAGAACACACCATGGTCGTTCATCTTGTATATCGATAACCATGCGACAAAAGACCAATTCAAACGAGCAGAGAAGAGCAAGGAAGATAAGCACACCGGTCACGATCCATTTGGCAAGATGTTTGCTTGTTTCACGAGAAAATTGGGTTTTTTGTACAATGACAACTGTGCGTTCGATGGCGACGCATGCATTCAGCCATTCACAACTTGTCGGCCACCACTTAAGAATATATTCAACTAGTGAACAACTGACATTGTTTTGTTTGGCATGCAACACAAAAATCATTTGACATATGAGTACGATCATTGTCAAGAGACCGAATAATGATGAGACGAGGAGATAGAGACCACAGCCAACTTCGTGTTTAGATTGTTGAGCAAATATGCCAATGGCGAATGTATTGAGAATGATGCCAACGATGATCACAATGCTGAGTATGGTTTTTGTTATTTGAATAATAGATGATTGGTGAAAACTACTAATCGCTGTCGTACGTACATGGGAACCGACGATAGCATCGAGAGAAAGAGAATAGCCAGCTCTTGTGAATTGACAAGTTGGTCCGTGACTACATGGTTCACAGAAGCACACTGATCTTGTCGGACACATCTCTGCGTTCTGTACACACATGTCTCGTCCATTGCACTTGTTTGCTGAACATTTGTGCGAAGTGGAATCAAAATTGAAACAGTTGGTATGATTGGTCATATTGCATAAGCACATGAGTTTATCATCATAGAAACATTGGAGATATTCGCTATGTTGTTGTTCAAGACACGGTCGTTGATAATTTTTGACACGACGCAATGGAGATTGAACAAGAACAGTGCTATCGAATAATTCATGAATTGAATGACACCGACGAGACGAATGCACTTCACTATCACTACTAATTTTTTTCCAACTGTTCTGCTAACATATAAGAGATAGTAATCAAATTGATCTTGATTTTCGTAAAGTTGAATGAATATTAACGAGGGCAGATAAGAATCATGATGCATAAAAACAGTGAAATTTGATGTTTCTTTACGAAGACGATGGAAATAAGTGAAACGACGAACATATTTACGACCTTCAACAGTATCCACAGCATGAATTAATGCAATGTTTGACGATGGAAAAGGAATATTTCGAGCAAATGACACATGAATGCGTGCTTCAATATATTCACAATTGGGACCAGTCCAACCTTCATTACACACACAAAAGAACTGATCTTCTATATAAGAACGTCCATCAAGTGGTATACATTGTCCATGTTGATTGCAACTCTTCTCCGTGCATGGATCGAATGGAATGAAACATCGGCTACCGAGATGATTCAATGGACATACACAAATGTCTCGATCGAGATCGACATCATGTCCGAGACAGAGAGCGACTTTGGAACATGTGATACATTTCGTGTTGTTTATAGCTGTTCGTGATAATCCTGACACGAGAACAGGATCTGGTAGAACAAGTTGTTTTGCCATTCGAATTACAGGCATGTTAGGCTCTCGTTTCGAGGGAAAGGTGATTCTAGCCTGACACTATCGGTTATGGCCAGATGATCAGTATATTTAATCCCGGTCTGCAACGGGAACGAGAGATCTAACGTAAATGAAGTGAATAATCATACTGACTTTGATTACGTTGATAATAAGATGAATGAGTTGGGGATATATATATGGGTTTATTAATATGAATATATTCATAAACATATAATAATAATAACAATATAATAATGAAGAACAATATAGGAAGGGAAAAGATAAGGGAAGCGAAAAACAACTCGTGACCACCGGGGAGGAAGATTCAACACCAACTGAAGAGAGAAAACAACAAGAAGGATAATCACTGGAAAAGTCCAGAGAGAAATATATACTGACCACTTAGAAAGTGGAGGAAAATCCAATAGAACACAATTTGGAAGTTAGCGGTAATAGAGTGACCTCTATTGACGCTAACACCTCCCCCTTTCGCCTGAGTGAGGCACTCACGACTCCGGCCGCCACCGAAGCGCAGGCCAGACATATGAGCAACCTATAGTGACGAAGCAGAGGGTGACATTTCAAAATAAACTTATACACACATGAGTAAGGAAGATAAGCCAAAAATAACAGTAACGGAAGTAACAGATGAAATGTACAAAAAAAAACAAAACGAAAATAAACAATAACGAGAAACAATAGCAGTTAATCTGTAGTACCAAAGTTAATGAAAACGATTCTCGAAGAATAGAGTTAGTGAATGAAATTGGATATGATTGAGCGGTTGAGGGATAATGAGGGTGATCAGTCGATGGGCTGCTACTATCCGAGTTAATCGGAAGCTGCATAATCGAACGAGTATAAAATAACCATGAATTTCTTATATATTGTATGTGGGTTAGAGATCGCTCGTAAATGTGAGAAGAGGAGGAATAAGGAAAGGAGAGTAGTACAGAGGATAGTAATTGGTAAACAGAAGACGCTATGAAAATATTTATGTTATAGAGACCGATGATGGTGTAAATGATGAAAAGTATGAAGAGGATGAAGAT